GGTCTGGGCGGGCCGTGGGGGCCCGGGAGGGTCTGCCTGGCCCTGCCCCGGCGAGGCTGCATGGCTTGTGGGGCAGAGGGGTGATGCACCAGTGGTGGCGGGCACAGTGCTGCTGTGCAACAGTGCCGGGGGTGAAGGAGTTTGGTTTTCTGCCAAACAGGGACCCCAACCCTGCCAGTGGAAAACTGAGGGGAACCCAGCAGGGAGTGTATAACTCACAGTGTCCATCTGCTCCCTCCACCACTTGGTTCCCTCCTCTGCTCGGGGCAGCCATGGTCTCCAGAGAGGCAGGGATCTGGATGCGGAGAGCAAGTTCAGTGCAACGGCTGCCCACTGTGGCCCACTCCCCTCTTGCCTTGCCCTCCCCCCACCACAGCCACGCACCCCCAGCCCCACAGTCTCGCACGCCTGGCTCAGCCCCTGCCCGGGTGCATGGCTGGGGTGCCGGGCACATGCAAGTGCACTCGTACCACCTCGGCCTCAGTGATCCTCGCCCTGCTCCAGCCCCCCCAGCACCCCTGGGAGGCCCCAGCATTGCTCTCCAGGCTCTGCACCTTCTCTCCCACCCACGGCCACCAGGATCAGAGGGGTCTCCATCAGAGCAGGGAGCCGCACAGCCTTCACCCAAATCCAGCTGGAGCCTTCTGCATCCCACTTCCCATGCACCCCCTACCCTCCCCAGTCCCCGCAGGCTGCGCAGCCCCCAGGTACCTTTCCCCTTGCTCCAGCCCTGGGGCTGGGTGAGCACTGGCCACAGGCACCCAGAGCCCATGGGGAGGCAGGCAACAGGCAGCAGCTTCCATGGTGGCAGGCAACGGTGTCCCCTCCGACGCTGCAGACCCTTGGTGAGGACACCTTTATAGCCCTGCCCCAGCCAGTGACTCACAAATTCTTCAGGGCAGGGGCAAGTGCAGGGGAGCGAGGGACTAGGGGTGCAGGGACAGTGGTCCCCAGGGTGTGAAATTTGTCCCAGTTGTGTAAACAGAGGGTTGGGGGGAGGCTGGGGGTGGAGGTGTTGCGATCTCTGGTGGAAAAACAAAATACAGAAGGGAAAAGTTAGACACCATTTGTGAGAAAATCCTCAGGGGGGGACAGGGAAGGGCTGAGACAATTAACAAGGATGATTAAGTGCTCTTTGTAGCTATTTGCATAAGGGGGGGATTTAGGAGGGGATGGGGAGTGCTGGGGCAGCATGATGGGCATGCCATGGGGACAGTGTTGTGGGCTTGTGATAGACAGCACAATAGGCATGATGAGGACTATGTGATGGGCATGCCCTGGGGACAGAGTGATGGGCATGATGAGGACAGCATGGTGGGCATGTAATGGGGAGAGTGTGATGGGCTGCAGTGGTGGCAAGCACAGAGCAACCAGGAGGCAGGTGATGGGATGCTCAAGAGAGGACAGGGAGGGAAGACGGACAGCAGGGGTGGACCCCAGGCAGAGGCAGGGCAATGGTCCTGCTCAGGCATCCATGGCCCCTGCTTGGATCACCCCGGGGAGCTGCCAAGCCCCGTTCTCACACTGCCGGCGCAGTGAAGAGAGCACGTGCTTGCCTGTGCTCCCTGCCCTCTCCTTTGGCTTTTTGAGATGTGGACCATACCAGGAGGTACAGAAAAGCTTCTCGATACGAGGGTGCAAGGCTCCCCCCCTGCCCCCCCAGCACTGCCATGCATCCCGTCCCTGCCCACTGCCCCGGGGAGCTGCCAAGCCCCGTTCTCACACTGCCGGCGCAGTGAAGAGAGCACGTGCTTGCCTGTGCTCCCTGCCCTCTCCTTTGGCTTTTTGAGATGTGGACCATACCAGGAGGTACAGAAAAGCTTCTCGATACGAGGGTGCAAGGCTCCCCCCCTGCCCCCCCAGCACTGCCATGCATCCCGTCCCTGCCCACTGCTCCTGCCCAAGCACTCGAGGCTGGCAGACAGGTCACCTCCCGCTCCCAGGAGGGTTTCAATTTAGGACAAGGAAAGAAAATAGCAAATGGTCCCTGCTGTAGCTCTGCTATCAGCATCCAAACACCCCTGTGCAAACACCAGCCTGACCCTGCTCAGCTCCAAGGGCAATTTGTCATCAGGGGCCCTCCCTGCCCCTC